TTTCCTTAGATTAATAAAATTTGTTTACTATCATGATCAAATTGATTTCTTTAGCATCAATACCACTTTTCATCATTATGCAATTTAACATTCGTTTAATCATTCATTTTACAAAAAATAATCAAACATTTTAAACATTTCTTTCAATATCACTATCTTATTGCTATCATTATTATCAAATGAATAACCTTTTTATCATTTATGTAGTATCAAATCACTTACTATTATTATTATTATTCTGATATACATCTTTCCTATCATCACCTCAGCATTAAAAACACTTTATGATCAATATTATACAATGGAAAAACGTTTTAAACATTTGCTAAAATACATCTTATATCATTAATTATCAAATGATTCACAATGTTTTCACATTTCCTCAGTAATAATAAAATTTCATTACCATCAGTATTATAAAATGGATAAACGTTTCAACATTGCTAAATACACCTTTCCCTATCATTATTATAAAAAAACAAACGTTTTAACATTTCCTCAGTATCGATAACATTTCATTTACCATCAGTATTTTAAAATGGATAAAACGCTTTAACCTTTGCTAAGTACAATTTTTTCTATTATTACCAAATAAGAAACGTTTTGACATTTCCTCAGTACTCCTTTACCATCAGTATTATAAAACTAATAACTGCTTTAACATTTCCCAAGTACATTTTCCTATCATCACCATCAAATGAACAAACATCTTGACATTTCCTCAGCATCAATAACACCTTTTTCACCATCATCTATAATCATTATAATTAACCAGAACCCGATTCCTCGTCGAGAACAGGTGCCTCTCCCGTGTGTCTGTCTCCCGCGATACCGAGAAGGAGCTTCCAATCTTAACAATACGAGCGGGAGACTCAATGAAACCCGGGGTCTTCGCACAAACACACTTAGCAATGGTAATGGAGGGGACTCTATTGAAAGGGAGGTTTTATGACGACGGCGGAGGTGGCACTGGCTGAACAATACCCGCTGGCACTGGCTCTGACCGCGATTCCCCCAAGTGGCACAGCTCCCTCAGTTCTCGCAGGCACACGCTGGCCCTCTCGCTTCCGAAGTGATTCCTGAAAAGAGGAGGCACTTCCTTTGAGTATCCTTCGCATAGAGGGAGGAGGAAGGGAGGGGGGAGGGAGAGGGAGAGGGAGAGGGAACGAAGGGAGAGAGGAATGGGAGGAGGGGGAGGGAGGGAGAAGGAGTGGAGAGGGAGTGGAGGAGAGAGGGGGGAGAGTGGAGAAGGGAGAGTGGAGTGGGGAGAGGGAGGAGGCATTTTTGTATTGGTAATATTTTTGACTTTGCGAATTAGGTTTCCAAAGAAGTGGAAGGTTGATTAAGAGTGGGAAGGGGAAGAGGCTCGGAGAGGGAGAGGAAGAGCGGGAAAGGAAAGACAGAGAGGAGAGGGAGAAGAAAAGGAAGAAAAAGAAGAAAAAGAAGAAGAGGAGGAGGGGAGAGGGAATGTAGGAGAGAGGAGAAGGTAGCGAGAGAGGAAGAGGGAGATAAGAAGAATGAGAGGGGAGGAATAGAGAGGAAAGGGAGAGAGGGGATGGGAAAAGGAGGGAAGAGACGAGGAGATAAAAGAAGAAAGAAGAACGCGAGAGGGTTTAGGAGAGAAATTATAAATCTAACCTTTTTTACACTGAACCCACTTATCTTATCTTCCTTCTTCAAATGTCAATCAATACTTAAGTATCGATAACGTTAATACGTTTAAGCATTGATGAGTAATTTCTTCTCCTCTCATTCTCTCGCTTAGCTCTCTCTATATATATATATATATATATATAATATATATATATATATATATATATAATATTATAGCTATTAATAGATGATAGATCAAATATTAAGATACGTAAAACTCAAAATAAAGAGAAGAAAATAGACGANAAGGGGATGGGAGGGAGGATGGGTGGGTGGGAGAAAGGAGGGTGGGTAGGTGGGAGAGAAGGAGAGGGAGGGAGAGAGGGGGGTGAGAGGAAGGGAAGAGGAAGAGGAATTGAGGGAGAACGGGAGAGAGGGAAGATAAAGGAGGGGAAAGGAGGGTGTGACCCGATGTGGATTAATGTAACTGCCATAAGTGAATTCTCGAAAAAAATGTATATATATACGTATGTATGTATGAATATCTATCAATATATATACATAAATCACACACACACACACACACACACACACACACACACACACACACACACACACACACACACACACACACACCACTGGTTGGCGAGGTGGAAGAGCTTGTACAGCTTCTGCCTGGGGTGCCAGCCTGGGGCCCTTGGTACCCGCTCGTAGTATTCTTTCCAGACTTCACTGCTGAAGGACCCACAAGTCGTGGAGATCACACAGTCGAACTCATGGTGTCCGTACAAGGAACCGGGGTCGAACATCACTGTGGATAAGGATAAATTTGGATAAGGAGGATGAAAAGGATCGATTCTCTGACAGTGTGTATCATCAGTCCAACGGGACAGTTGAAAAGACATTCTCAAACAACCTTGTTCTTTCCCACTTTTTGGCTTCGTCAGCTCGACGTCCTGGTCAAACAGTGGGTTCATCGGATAGAATCATTTCGTCTGTACAAAGGTGATTATATACTTTTAATTCGATATAAATCCACGTATATAATCTATCTCTAATTATATATATATACGATTTATCAGATTTATGCGTGAGTGGTTGTTTACCTGGCCCGTCGATGGTCTCCGCAGTGTTGCCATAGTAGAGGTCGCCGTGGAGCAGGGAAGGTTTGACGTGCACGTTGGCGAAAAAGGAAGGAATTTTGAGTTGCAGTTCTGACCACAGTTCATTGGCTTCCCGATTCCCAAACTGGGTGAAGAAGGAAACTGCACGGATTACTGAGCATTGTAATTTTTAAATGTGGCATAATTTATTTGATTTTTTTTTATGAGGGAAATTTAACGAAATAACGAATTGAACTAACCACTCTCGTGATTTTCCGGAACTGGTTGTCAAGTTGCCTCGCGTAGAACACCTGGGATCGACAAAGCACGAACTCAGTGATATGTGCGTAAAAATAAATAAATAAATAAATAAATAAAAAATAATAAATAATAAAAAGCTAGTGATTTTTTTTTTTTACATAAAACCAATAAATTCACGAAAACTATACATAATCAGATTTATTTATCTATTATTATTTTCTAGTCATATTTCTTTCTATTTTCATATCCCTCTATTTCACAAGCCGAAAAGTGATATAAAATACACTTGACAATAAGTCCCTACCTCCCAGTCGTCGCACCAGTCGTTCAGAAGCGACATGTATCCACAATAGGTGTTGATATGAAACCCGAACTGCGTGACCCGCCGCTCGCGTGACCCGACATAACCCTCTTCCAAATCCCACTTCAGGTCATTCGTGTTGTGCAAATGCAACCTGCAACATTAGTCCTATGTGAAGAGATCTATTTCGACTGATTTTATCATTATTATTATCATTATTATTATTATCATTATTATTATTATTATTATTATTATTCATTATCTATTATTATCATTATTATTATTATTTAATTATTTATTATCTATTTATTTATTTAATTTTATATCATTATTTTTTAGAAGGAAGGTTTTTGCTGCCGTACTGTTATGGGAAGTTGTTATATGGCAGATTGCTGAGTGTTGGTTGTACGAAAAATATACGTATTATATGAAAACCTGTTCTATATTGTGCTACATGAAAAAGTTGATGTATATTATGTTACATGCATATTGGATCATATTTTAAGAAAAAAATATCCATTTTATATTCATGAAACGCTGCTTCTAAATTATGTTACATGAAAAATTTGATATTATTATGTAATATGAATACTGCGACCCATATTATAGGAAGAAAATATTCCTGTTATATCTATGAAAATCTGTTCTAAATTACGTTACATGAAAGGCTACTCCATATTACATGAAAACTGACCCTTATCAAAAGAGAAGACAAACACAACAAACCCAGCCTTCCCTCTCCCCCCTCCCTCTCCCCGTTGACCCCCTCCCTCCCCCCCTCCTCTGCCCCCCTCCCCCNTCTGGAGCAGTTAAATGAATTCGAGAGTGTCGCACTACGAATATGGCGCTGAGTACATGCGTTCTTATAGTATCTCTCACTGAAAAGAGTAGTTAATCATTGAACTTGCACTAGAGTGAGGGAACTGATTCAGTCACTATGGAGTGTTGATTATACATCGTGAATATCCTATGATTAATCGTAAAGATCCCTCAATAGATTTTAGCTGGTATGACGCGTCTGAACCACAAGAAAATTTTATATTTGTGTCTATCCATGTCAAGGTTTGGACTTACAGAAAGTTATGGCATATTTTTTCCTGAGTATATTGTATCACATTATTAGTGTTACATTCAGGGTAACATGTCTGAAAAGTACCTTTTCCCATACATTTGGAAAAGAAATATGTGAAAATTATCTGCCCTGCTTTTTCAATAGATAACTACCATCATCATTTATCAGGCGTTCCACTAGCATTTCTTCCTGTGTCAGGAAGATATTAAGGGTCTGTCCACGTGGCCGCACTATTGCACCCTGGCACTCTTCTAGTCTGAATAGAGAAGTGACCAGCGATTACTTGGTTAAAAGTTTCTCTAGCGTCTGTTGTAATCTTTGTTTGAAGTCTTCATAGGCGCTGGTCTTTCTTGAGTTCACCTCTGAGCGATGTTTTTTCGCTTCATATAACGCGCGGATGTATCAGTTAGCCAAGGGGCAAAAGGTCTCTTCACCTCTTTCGTGACCAGAGGTGCACATACGTTTAAACATTTGTTGAACATGTTGGTAAGTATATGAACCTGTATGTTTATATTATCAATGTGAAATATCTTGTTTAATTCAGCAGATTCCGACATTAATAAGTTGCATAGATAATCGGGAGAATAATTTTTTTGTTGTCGCAAAGTTTTAATTTCCGGCTTGTGTTTAGGGCATGCTGTCAGATTTGATGAGAGTGTGAGGTTGGTTGGTAACAATGATATCCAAGAATGTAAGAGATTGACTTTTTACCCTATTTGGCATATCAATTGGCTGATGCGATTTGTGATTATTCATTATTTTTTTGAGCTTATTGTCAGCAGATGAAAAATCCTTGTTAAAAACATCCAGGACAAAAATATTTACTATGTAGCGATACAAATTTAAAAACATCGGAGATATTAGTAAAGCAGTCCAGCTTGAGGCCGTTCGGTTACAGGCGAGTAACCCATGCGTTCGAGAAAAGTAGCCGAGCAACTCCCTCAGCAGGAGGGACTAGTTCACACGATGACATCCTTCCCCACCCAGCCAACTCACCTTTCTTTTTCTGCGTCTATCTTGAGTTTCCCTAACGTAAGTAAATGCACACTCCACCTCCCATAAAGCACCTCTGCCTTATATCATCAATGTTCTGTAACTACATTGGCTCATGTGGTAGTAGACCTTACTATGGATCCATCTTACACAAAATAATTGACGGTAAGGACAAGATGTCATTTAAGCATAAAAGGTCTACATGTCCCCAAATCCCTTTACTTCGAAGTTCGATTTCAATGACGTTAGGGCAGGGATGTTAGGGCCATCATCCCATATAAGGTCTATATTCACACATTCCAATCAAAATGTCTGGCGGCTCTATCTTCTTCGCCATATTCCATTCCTAAAAAGCTATCGTAAGTACAAAATCGTTTTATGTGGCCCATTTGGAGACAGATTTCACATTTAAAATTATGATCGAATCTACAGCTTACTTGATGATGGTTATATTCGCCGCAGTTGAAACAACCTTGCACGAGGAAAGGAAGGAGGATCTGTGTTGGTGGTGGGGCGGGTCCTTCTCTCTCGGTAGCTCCTCCCCCACCCGAGTGCAGCGGGTGCCACCGCTCCTCCTCGGTCGCTTCCTCTTGGCCCCCACCTTTCCTGGGGCTGCTGCTGGCGTCGGGGCCTCGCCCGTGCAGTAGTCGAGGCGCCAGAAGGAGGCAGCTCCTGATTACTAGATTAGATTTTTTTCTTTAATGATCCGGAAGTTTAATTTGCAAACATGAATTTAAAAGTTTTTTTTTTTTCTCTCTCTCTCTCTCTCGCCTCGTGCAAAGTTCCAGGTTCTTACGTACAAAACCTTTCTTCATATGCCTATCATCCTTCTCTGTATATTGATTCTAATACTTTTTCTGTCCTTATTTGCTCTTATACTTCTTACTACATTCCATTTACCTTGATTCTATTTAATCATTCTCTAACTTATCATTCTGAACAGTAACAACATGCATACCGTTTGATTTATTAATGTTACTAAATATTTTTTATATATTTCAGCTATTTTCTCAAATTGTCATATTTTATAACCAATAGAAAAATATATTAGCCAGCATGCTATTTCTCCTTAGTTTATCTTTCTCTCCTCTTTATCTTTATCTTTCCCATCTCCTTTTATTGGTACCGGTAATATATCTTGATTTTGCTTAATTCATCTTTATGAAATTCAGCTGATTATGAAATTATGTGCATTAATCATTCGGTATTTCAAAGAGAAATGAACATAGCATAAATAATGATCATAAGATAATGACTATACTAATGATAACATTAACGATAAGGACGGAAAGGCAGGCGATGATGATGATAATAATAGTAATGTAATAAAGATAAATAATGGATAAAGAAAAATAATGGTTAAAGATAATGGCAATGATGATGGTCATAATGTAATGATAATAGTTACGATTGCTGAGCTCTCCCTCATGTATCTTATAATATGTCAATGTTAATAGATTACTTTGTTACAAAAACAATACCAAGCTTTACGAAAAGACGCTCAGTAATAAAAATCTTTAACAAATAAAGGCCTTACTATAAATTATACACAACGATAATCGTTATGAGATGATTTGGTAACCATAGCAAGCCACTTTTCAGCAAGCATGAGTAATAACAGTAGATCACACACACACACACACACACACACACACACACACACACACACACACACACACACACACACACACACACACACACACACATATATATATATATATATATATATTATATAATATATAATATATATATATATATATATAAGAGAAACGACAGTTAGAGAGAGAGAGAAGTGAAAAGTGAAAAGTGAAAGAGAAAGAGAAGAGAGAGAGGGAGAGGGAGGTAAAGATATATATATATATAGAGAAACAAAGTAAGCACGAGAAAGAAATGAGAGAAAACTTGCAGCCAAATACAATTACCTAAACAAATGTCTCTTTCACCGTTAATCTATCGCATATTTTCTCTTTTTTCTTCATATTTTCGAAATCATTTGTGTTTGCAATATATCATGTGTGTATGTATATATATATATATATATATATATATATATATATATATATATATATATATATATATATATATATATGTGTGTGTGTGTGTGTGTGTGTGTGTGTGTGTGTGTGTGTTGTGTGTATTAAGTAAAGAATTTTTCTAGTGAAATTAATTCTAAAGAAAACATTTTTGAATCTCTAATTCATGTGGATTCTGCATTGTAGTAGTAGTAATGATAATAATGTAATAAATGTGCTTTGGTTATTATTCAAATTATGTAGTAATAATTATCGATAATCTTGATGATCATAGATTACTTAGAAATAATATTTTTGTAATAATGAAATCAGATTTCTTAGATGTAAATAATGTTGACCCGGCGGACTCGAACTGGGACTTTGGTGGAGGTGTTTTTATGATTTAACTCTTAAGTTTAATATCGTTGAAGTTTAATACATTCCAACATGATTATTCGAGGTTATATACAAATGGTGATATATATGAATTTGGATATGATTATGAAATTATGAGTTGTGTTGTGTTATGCCCAAATTGTTTTTTTTTTTTTTTTTTGTCAGAAGTGAAGGATTTAGTTTACCATCAGTGATGATTTCCTTGTTTTCCACATCCATATTTTAAGGCATCCGCACAATGATATGATGCATTGCGTTTAAAGAGTGCAAAGTGTGCAAAGAGTATTATATATTTTTGATAATATAAGTTAATAATAGTATTAACGTTTAATATCTTCCACAATCTTAGTGCATCCTGGAATGAATTATTTACTGATTAATTGCGTTTGTTGAATGGTCCAACTTCAACAAACTATGAAAGATATCAGTTGTTTGAAAACCTAAAAGAATAATATAAGATTTTTGGAGCTTTTGAAAGCTACTTGAAAGAGAAGCTAAATTTAGTGAGTGATTCAAAATGTGAATAGCTCCTAATAGTGCAGATGAATATTTTGTTGAATGAAACTTGTCTGTTATCTTATAAAGTTGAAATTTATCTGTGTGCACTAATATAAAATTATAGAAGTCATACAAGTTAATGAAAAGTAAATGAAAGATGAGAACCAGTTGCAAATTTTTTGATACTCAGAGGATCATGGAAGATAATCTTTTTGATAAGCTGTGTTGAAACATGAGGAAAGAAATAATAACTGATAACAGAATTTTAAACACAGTATTAAGATATGAATTTAACTAGAAAGTTATGATTAATTTTTACTCGTACATATTATGACTAATACCCTAGACGACTAAGTAATAATTCTCACTAAGAGAAAGATGAACATGAAATTGAAGTTTCTGATTTAACCGAGCAAAGTTAATGAAAACATGCATATATACATGCATATATATGTATAAACATACATATATATATATATATATATATATATATATATATATATATATATATATATATATATATATATATATAGATAGATAGATAGATAGATAGATAGATAGATAGATATGTATATATATATATATATATATATATATATTATATAATATATATGACACACACACACACACACACACACCATGTGTGTGTGTGTGTGTATGTGTGTGTGTGTGTGTGTATGTGTGTGTGTGTGTGTGTGTGTGTGTGTGTGTGTGTGTGTGTGTGTGTGTGTGTGTGTGTGTGTGTGTGTGTGTGTGTGTGTGTGTGTGTGTGTGTGTGTAAATCCGTTGTATCTAACCTGCACATACTTAATGCGTAACATTGGATACAAAACAATGGATATTATATATATATATATATATATATATATATATATATATATATTATATATTATATATATATATATATATATGTATGTATGTATGTATGTATAACACCCACCTTTATTACATTTATTTATGAAACCCACTAATGAAAATCATTGATATCACGATGCTGAAATGAAAAAAAATCCTTCGAACCGAATGCCGTTAAAGCCATTGCAACCCCGCCCCCCTAAAAAAGTCTATCTCTCCTCTAACCTTCAGTCGGTGAGTGCTCCATGCATTACAGAATAGAATGAGAAATGGGTCAGCATTCGCCACAGTACTGGCAAATGAATGATTAAATGTACCTTCGTATTCCATCGCTTCTAAGACGTCAAACAATATTACAGATGCAACTCCTTCGCCTCCCTAGCCCCGCCTATCCCCGAGATCTCCTACGTCACCTTCTTCTGCTATTCTCTCTACTATTCTTTTCTCTCTTTGGGATCTTTTTCTTCCCATCTCCCTTCCTCCTATTCTATCCCGATACTTGCTTCATCCCTTCCAGCTTTTTATTATTATTATCTTTTTTTTATTCCCATCTTCCAATGCGTCTTCGTCTTCCACACTTCCTTCCCACCCTATACCTCCTTCGTTCCATCCTATCCTCCTCCTTCCTTTCATCCTGCTTTTTTCCTTCCTTTCATCCTGCTTTTTTCCTTCCTTTCTCCCCTTTCTCTTATTCGAACCTTCTATCATCCTCTCTCATCTGTCTGTTCTTCTTCCATTTCATACTACAAAGGATTTTTTTCTTCTCCTCCTTCATCGCCTTCTTTAATTTTTTTTCTTCTCGCCTTTCTTCCTTTCAAAAAAGAATATGGTTAAAGATACGTGCGTTTAGGAGTGTGAATGGGCGGGGTTTCATTCGCAATAAGAATAGTTCAAATGTAATCGAAAGAACAACAAAAAGAACAAGTGGGTGGGTGTGGGTCTGTGGGTGAGTGAGTGAGTGAGTGAGTGGGTTTTCATTCATAAAAAGCTGGAAAGGAAATTAAGTTTTGGAAGAGCATCAATGATTGAATAGGACGAAAAAGAGAGGCAAGTAAACATAAAAATATATATAGAATTCCCTATGATACTATTCATTTT